GCATATACAGAGGGAAATTTGGATGGAAGAGAATGAGAGATATAAAGAAGAAGAAATACAGAGTGTAATGTGTATTTAAAAGAAGGATAGATGAGGTGCTTAGGGACATGGTTTAGTGGTGGGGTGGCAGTGTTAGGTTAAGGGTTGGACTTGATGATCTTAAAGGTCTTTTCCAACCTAGATGATTCTATGAAAGAAGAGCAAAAAGGAATAAAGAGCAGAAAAAAAGGAAACACTGGAGACAAAAAGTCATAGAAATACTTCTTAGAGGAGAGTGTAGCAGAGGTGAGAATAGTCAAGAAAGAAGAGAAAATAATCTGAGAAAAGCAAGAAAGTGGTTGTACCTTGCATGGCAAAATAATTCAATAAAAAGATAATGCAGCGATGGGTGGATTATACATGAGAATGTGTGTGTCAGTATTGTGGTAAATCTTTGAGATAAGAGTTATAGTGTTTCTCTAGAAATGGGCACCCTGAGGCAATTTTGCTTCTTATCAACATTATCTTTCCTCCCTGCAGTTTAGCTGGCATTTCACATCTTATTTCTGTATGGAAAAAGAATTATTATCCATAGCTAAAAGTTACACAGTTAACACTGCAGTTTCAGCCTGTCAGTTCAGGGTTCAAATACAAAAAGCATTATATTGTGTTTTTTTTTTTAAAAAGGCTCTGATAAAACTGGATATGAGTCAGTTCTGTCCCTTGCTCCAGATCTGTAGGCAGACAGTTTCTACTATTGCTTGCACTAGAACTTGGGTAAGTTGTAAGAGGGTGGAAATCAACCAGTTTTTATCAATTTCATGGATAGTTCTCAAGGTCCTCCTCTCTTCAGATTCAGGAGAAGGGACGTTAAAGCAGTACAGAGGTTCATCAGTGCTCCAACAAGTGCGATACAGAAGCTTTCCTCCCAACACTGTTTTACAGCATCCGGGCAAAAAGAAAAAAAAAAAAAGCTGTTTCTGTCTTCTGGAGGGTTAATATGTCTGAAAAGGATGGAAAGGGAAAGCACTGTTGGGTATTGCCAACTACCAACTGGAGACTGGTAAACCAAAGCTGCTGCCTAGTCTTTATACTGGTGTAGTACCATGCTGAATCCTGTCCCCTGACCTTTTTTCCCTAAATGGTGCTAATTTTTAGTTAGCTAATTGCAGTGCTTGTCCTAATGCAAGGGAATGGGGAAGATAACTAGGAAACATTAAAAGAGGGAATTATGGTGTGTTTGCATATACAGAGGGAAATTTGGATGGAAGAGAATGAGAGATATAAAGAAGAAGAAATACAGAGTGTAATGTGTATTTAAAAGAAGGATAGATGAGGTGCTTAGGGACATGGTTTAGTGGTGGGGTGGCAGTGTTAGGTTAAGGGTTGGACTTGATGATCTTAAAGGTCTTTTCCAACCTAGATGATTCTATGAAAGAAGAGCAAAAAGGAATAAAGAGCAGAAAAAAAGGAAACACTGGAGACAAAAAGTCATAGAAATACTTCTTAGAGGAGAGTGTAGCAGAGGTGAGAATAGTCAAGAAAGAAGAGAAAATAATCTGAGAAAAGCAAGAAAGTGGTTGTACCTTGCATGGCAAAATAATTCAATAAAAAGATAATGCAGCGATGGGTGGATTATACATGAGAATGTGTGTGTCAGTATTGTGGTAAATCTTTGAGATAAGAGTTATAGTGTTTCTCTAGAAATGGGCACCCTGAGGCAATTTTGCTTCTTATCAACATTATCTTTCCTCCCTGCAGTTTAGCTGGCATTTCACATCTTATTTCTGTATGGAAAAAGAATTATTATCCATAGCTAAAAGTTACACAGTTAACACTGCAGTTTCAGCCTGTCAGTTCAGGGTATGATCGTGGGATTTGCAAAAGCCACATTCAATTCCTTTCTGCAATGAAGGTTTTTAATATTGTTCTTTGTATGACTTGCAGCAGCTAGAAGTGCCACGCAAGGAGTAGGCCACCTGTAGTGGCGAGAGCGCAGCCAGCAGCCAAACATCCACCCAGCCTCTCACTCACTCCCCTCTCCTGCAGGATGGGGAGAAAATAGAAGGAAGGTGAAAAGACACCATGGATGGAGATAATGACAGTTTTCAAGGAAAGCAAAAGCTGCACACACAAGAAAAGCAAAAGGAGGGGTTCATTCACTATTCTCCATCAGCAGGCAGATGTTTAGCCACTTCCTGGAAAGCAGGGCCTGACTATTTGTAATGATTCCTTGGGAAGACAAACGCCATAACCACAAATGTTTCCCCTTAAACCTCCTTTTCTTGAGCTTTTATTGCTAAACACGACATCATGTGGTCTGGAACATCCCTGTGGTCAGTTGGAGCCAGCTGTCCTGGCTGTGTCCATTCCCAATGTCTTGCCCACTTGCTTTGAGGAGAGGGGAGGGAGAAGAGAGAAAGCAAGCTTGCTGCTGTGCAAGCACTGTTTAGCAGCAGCCAAAAGATTGATGTATTATCAATACTGTTTTAACCATAAATGCAAAGCACAACACTATACGAGCTGCTGTGAAGGCAGTTAACTCTATCCCAGCCCCACTCCACCACTGTACGGGGTGTTGTACAGGCACAGTGGGAAAGGATAACCCTTACTTCGCAGTCATTAATAGAACTGTGAAAAAACAGCTGGATATGGGCAAGTGTTAATGTGCGGTACAGAACAGTCAGGAATGGTCCGGAAGATGAATTTTTTGCCTTAGCAATAAAGATTGCACTTCCAGTTAGAAAATAGCTTATCCGCACTGTTTTGTGCACGATGGTTTTCTTGCAAGACTTGATGGCATAAGTGACGGTCAGGAGATGAATACCACTTCCCATTTCACAGTAGCTAGGACTTCCGTTTTTATTTATCTTGTGTGGTGTAATGGCAACAAATCAACCTCAAAAGACCAACTTTTTCCTACTGTTTTACTTGTTCTGTGGCTTCCTCCTTGGATGTTTTGGGGTCATTCCCACACATATTTTCACCCATGCTTTTCTGTTGCATCTGTGATCTTGATTGTTGGTTTGGGCTTTCTTGGGGGGAGGGGCTGTGGGTTTAGTTTTTTATTTTTAGTGGGCATCAAAGACAGTAAGATGCTTACAAAACTGGGGTCAGAATTCAAAAGCCAGTGACATTCAATTCCTCCCTTGTTGTGTCAGTGTATTGTCAGTGGAAACGTATCTCTAGTGCTCAGAACATTAAGCTTTCCTTTAGAGTAGGTTGTTGTCAATATTGGAGATCATGCTGGATTTATATTTGTGTAGGTAGCTGTGTCTGAGGAAAATTTAGTTCTCTCCAAACGTTACAAAAGAATTAAGTATTGGCAATAAAGCCAGAGCTTTATTTATTACATCCATTAAAGTAGGACCGTAGAAAAAGATCATACAAAGCACTTGCACAGATTGATTCTTGGGTTATAAAATTGTTCTGTGGTCAAACCAGTCTTCTACCGCATGATCAGAAAATGCTTAGTGGTACCAGCTGGCTTATGGGTACATGGAGGGCAAAACAAGTCCTTTCTTATGTTATGATTCCTTTATTACCCTCAGGGCACTAGTGAGGAAAATTGTATCTGTGTTTTCTTCTGCCTGCCCATTCCTTGGAGCAAGTGATTCTCTCGTAAGCTGCTCTGAACTTGCTGGCTTGGTCCATGTTCTTCCATATTTGCTGGTAGACTCCAGCACAATTGTGTTAGCGAAGGGGAGTCCAGCCTATTAGTCCTGAGATGCAGGCAGCTCTTGGGCAGTTTCACAGTGGCCTGTGTGACTCATGACAGGACTGAAAACTGCAGGAGAATCTAGCCACCAGAGAGGCTGAGGACTGTGTTGCTGGCTTGCTCTTGGTCTCAGCATCATGCCCAGTCCACTCCTGTGAATGGAATAGGATGTTCAGAGCAGAGCTTTCTCTGTAGACTGATTGCATCTGCAGGACTACAGCCAGCCAAGAGCAAGTGCAGGGGGTTAGGTGGAATTCAGACCATCTGAAATGAGTAGTACAGTAGCATCTGTGCCTAATGTCACGGGCCTTTTCTCCAGTGTGCATTTGGCCTGGTAATAATTGGAAGTTGGATCTTCCTCCTATATATGATCTCTTCATAATATAAATGCATGATTCCTTGCCTTTCCTTAAGAATGTGTTGAATTTTCCTGCAGTGTAAGATTGACTTCCTTTAAGTCTTGGTACACGTCTTCCTTGTTTTTTACTGAGTGTAATCAATGGCAAATGGACTTTAGATGTTTGTTCTTCAACAGGGACAAGAATAAGCAGGGAAGAAAAGAGCTGACTTTTAAAAAGGAACAGCATTTCCAGTTAACACTTCAAG